ATATATAATAGTAATACATTATATATATAATATAAAATTTGAAAGAAATTCATTCACATAAATGAAAAATCAAAATTTTAGTATTTTCACAGAGAAAAAGTTTGCAGTATGCAGAAATTTAGGCAAACTGATTAAACATTGTTCTTTAATTTTTGATGCAAATAAAGTGAGATTCAGACAAGTAAGGCAATGTTCAATATATTTTAAAATTAAAACTCATAAGAATAAAGCATCTTTTTCCATTGTTAACTTTTGTCTTCACTCTTCCATTTTACAACTTTTTTGTTTATATTTCACATTTAATATATTGTATAGTGCAAATCTACATGATGATTCATCATTTTAATTAATGATAAAATGTAGACACTGATGATATTTATTTACATTAAATGTTCTGCATATATCTATTACATTTTCACCCCGGTTTTATGATTAAAAAAATATAAAACATAATCCCTTTTTTGTACATGAGCAAAGTATCAGAAAAAGAAACATATTCTGTTTTTTTTTTTTTGTCCAGGTGAATATAAATTTTACATAATTATTGTAATCGTCACAATTCATCAATTTAAGAAACTTTAGAATCAAAATAATACAATGCACATCTAAAAGTTGAATATTTTTTTCTTATATAGTAGTGTAATTATTTACCAAGTTTCATTCTGTTAAAGGAATTTTTAAATACTGTACATTAAAACCGTATTCCATAAATATCTTATAAAGCTAGCAATACACTGTACTGAAATTTTATCATTTATGCAATAAAGCAATTATATAAAATAAAATTTCTTCACACCAAATTATATATATATTTAAAAAGATATTCAATTATTTTATTTTCTGCTAGAAAAATTTTAAAATATATGTATATATACTGATTTTGATTTTAAATGGATGGATACAGTACATCTATGTGTCATAATAAACTATCTGAAATACAAAACTAAATTATTACTATTCTGAATATTATCCCATTCAGTAAAGTTTATAACATAATATATTTATATTAGCACTTCTGATGTAAAAGAATTAAACTATGATTGTTACTGTATAAAGTGACAGTATTCTATAAATCACAGAGAGCGCAATTTAACTCAATACATAATCATACATTGCGAATAATACAATTCATAGAACATTATATATTTACAACAATGAGAACAAACCTTTAAACTAGATTTAAATATTTCATATGTCTAAATGTAATACCAATACTGAAATTAATATTTGAAGTAACCTAACTTACATCAGATCTACTTTACACTTATTCGATCTATTTTAAGCAGTTTGATAATGCAATCCTTCCTCTGTTATTTTCTATAGACAAGTGTGAACATCCTAGAACAACACAATGAAATGAGCATGATTTGGTATTCTTTACAATTATATGTGTAACTGTACAATAGTGGAAAAAAGTATTTTTAATGACAGATATAAGAAAAAGCAACTGTCATTAGAAAAAATTCAGTTGATCAAACTAAAGTTTCAAACATAATCAAGAATAATAAAAAGTAAAAATGCAAATATTGTAATAGTTTCAAATCATCCCCAAGTAAATGCTTAAACATCTGAAATATTTTAAAACAGCTGCTGTACAAGTTATATTTATGTGTATTTTCATGTTTATATATATATATATATTTAACAAGGAACACATTTCCACATCTAAAATAGGATACAAAGATAGAACTGCAACTAAAGAATTGTATCAAACGCGATGTTCTTGTGACCATTCATGTACAAATGTAACCTTTGAGAGAAAAAAATTAGAATGAGATTATATATCTTTGTCTGATCTCAGTAAAAAAATGTAACTTCTTTATGATTAAATTTTTACATTCACTTTTATGAATATCTTCCTGAGCACAGACAGACATTAAAATATCAATGATTGTACAACACAACAGTTTTTGTCACGATACAGATGAGATAGGATTATGTGGTGAACCCATTTGTGTGAGTACTTTATCCAACCACTGTAATGGACCGTGCAGATGAATTTCAATCCAGCATGGAGTGGAAGTGACATCTTGGCGATGGTATTCAGCTCCCCATCCTTTGACAAAACTCATCCGAATGGTACACATTTTGGTTAATTCATATACTGCTTCAAATCCATGGTTTACTGCTTGACTTAACAACTGAGCAAATTCCTGTAGAAAATTATTATTAGAATATAAATTTCATTTAATCAAAATTATGCTAAATATAAATAAAATAGCTGTCTGTTTTTAACATATACAGGTAATTCAAAAATCAATTAACATTTGAAAAAAAATTGATATTTCGGTGAATTTTTTGTGTAGTAACATGATTAGCATGGAAATGCATAGGATCATGCAGGTTTTTTCCCAAAAGTGTCAAAATCAGTTCCAATTATGTCTACTAGGTAACACTTTCATCCATAACACTGTAAAGAACTGAATCATAACAAATGCCAATGTGGCATAATTTATTGTCAAGCATGGCCTAAAGATGAGTAATGATATTATTGATAGCATAAAACAGCATTTCTCAAGGTATCATTTAGACCTCCATTGTATAGTCTTTTAGCATTGCCAATGATGTTAGGCAATCTCTGTAAACCCATGACTTCAGGTAGCCCCATAAGAAAAAGTCACAGGGCATCAGGTCTGGAGACATTGGTGGCCATTCATTCTGAAAGAAATGGTTTATCATTATTCTCTAAACAATGACAGTAACAGTTGTTTCAAGGAAAAGCAACATTGCGTGGTACTTCACCCTGTATGAATGTCACAACATTCAATGCTTTCCTTTCTTCCAGGTTAACCTAATAATGATCTGTAATAGTGACAATTTCAAAAGATGTGACATCATTCATAGTAAGGCACTATCAGATGGACATAATTGGAACTAATTTTGACACTTTTCTGGAAAATCCCCTTGTGATTCTATGCATTTCCATGCTAATCTACCATGTGTCAAAATTTTAATTTTTCTAAAATATCAATTTTTTAAATGTTTGCTGACTTTTGGATCACTGTATATATAAGCAATTGAATGCCCCAATAATTGAAACTAGTAGATTATTAAAAATTAAAATAAAATAATAAATAAATCTCATATCACAAATGATTAATGATATCCATTTGATATGTCAGAAAAATTTATGCAAATTATAAACTAATCGGTTCTTTATAAGTTTATTTTAACCCTTTGCATATCAGCAGAGAATACCGGTTTGTTTACCATTTTTAAATTTTCTACTGTTACATCAAGTTTGTTTCATGTGATTATGTATATTATGTTTTTCTGTAGAATACATTCAATAGCATTTCAAAATGAATAACTGTTAACAAAGAGAAATAGTTATTTGTTAAAAGTAATTTTGTTTTAACCTGTCACTGAATGAAATCAATACTAATAACATTTAGTGAGATAACGTTTTGTATTTGTACATCATTTTCTATTTAAATGTGTAACTGATAGATATCTCTCTCTCTCATGTGTGTATGCATGCACACATAAAAGGAATATTAATATGGAAAAATTATCTATCAATACAGGATGTTCTTAACATCCTGTATTGGTAATTTAAATACAGGATGTATTTAAATTATCAATGCTTATAGTATTGTTATAGAAAAATATATATTACTTAAACATAATAGTAACTAATAGGAAATGATCTTTCATATGAATTTATTTTTAAATTTAGCCATGACTGTTTTTAAAAAAATTTCTTGATATTTTAATAATACTTTAAAGTTTGTTTACAATATACTCTCAATTATCTGTGTGCAGATTATCCATGCATGCATACCTCTCAATAAAAATTTATGTCAGGAATACAAAATATTACCATTAAAATTTTTTAAAATATGCATTGTTAACTGTTGCTATTTAAAATGGTATCTATATTGAGTGCCAGAACTACTACCAGAATGTGAAGGCATAAATTAAATGACCTAAATAAAGGCATATTGTTCAAGGATTGACTATACTATACAACATATACATCTTATTTCTGAGAACCATTTTTACTACTTTAACTAACATTTTCAACCTGATCAACAGGCTATCATCAGGTTATCAGTTTACTGGAATGTTTACAACTGTTCTATAATCAAACCAATATGCAATAACAAATTTGAATTTAAAACAATTTGAATATTTACTTAAAAATCAAAATATAAAATACAGTAATACCCCGAACTTACGCAATAGGTGGGACCGAGTGATAACTGCATAACTCAAATTCGCATAAGTCGGGGTATAATTTCGCAATTTGTGTAAAATCCAAGTTGGATGTATGTAAACTAATAAATGTTCTCATTAATCTTATCTTGTCTTTTTATTCGTTCACGGTTACAAGAAATTACCACATAGAGTCTCTCAAGTCTCCGTAGATATAACAAACACAGAAATAAATAACACAAAATAAATTGTAGCTATGTGTTGATTCCATGCAACACATCCCAACATGTAAGCTGAACAATAGTGTGGGGGGAGTGAGTAATCGAGAGTTGGCACTCAAACAAAAGACGAATCGACGAGATTTGAAAATTGCATAACTCCGGGTTCGCATAAATCGGGGTAGCGTAAGTCAAGGTATTACTGTATAAATAATATAACTAATCCATTAAATACATAAACTGAGCAAATCAAAATAAATAGAGTAGAACAAAATAAAATAAAATATAACAACATAAGATATAAAATTACATTGACTGTGCACTATGCATCTTTTACTAGCCATTATTGATCATATATTTGCATGCCGATGGTAAGCTTGTGGCATCCTTGTAGTTTAAACATTTGCTAGTCAGGCTGGATTTATAAATTTCGAACTTTTCCAAACTTAATGCCAGAGTTAGTGAACATATCGGTGTAACAATTCTGGCCTCAGCCCATTCAACTACCGAACCATCAGTTTGCACCACTCTGGATAGTGCTGTAGAATAGTGTCCCTTGTTTACATCGTATACGTGCTCCTTAAGCTTTTTGTTGAGGTTTCTGGTGGTGACACCCACATACTCTTTGTTCAAACCTAATTGATCATTTTAATATGGTATCTTCTATACTCCAGATTGTTGTTCCTTCTTGATCATATCCTTGTCATTCCTAAGCAAGTTATAAACCGTGGGAGCCCTTATGTATAGTAATCTTGTGTTCTTGTAATCTGCAACTTCTTTCACAATATTTGACATGTTTCTGTTGTATGTGAACTTAGTCACCTTGTTGTTCATGTCTTTCTTTGTTTTCTTTTTGCTAGGATCAGTGTAAGAACTTATTAACTGCCACCTGTAATATGATATTTTGCATATTTACTGGCCACAATGAGAAAATTTGATATTTAATATTTTATTATAATGTAAATAGAAGGGTCATTATATAACAGTCAGTAGAGGGAAGATAAAAAAATTAAATGAACTACAAACCCGCTGTAATTACATGTGCTCACCTAATTAAAAGTTTTTACATCTGTGTGTTAAAAGTACTTTACAATTTGTTTGGACTGCACATGTTGTTTTTTTCTGTAAATATATATTATTTTGCACTTATATACTTTGATTTTGTTTTGTAATATTATTTACTTTATATGCAATAAAAGAGAATAATTAAACTAGTTTTCGATATTTTTTTCCTTTTTTTTAACTATTTACTATTAAAAAAACATTATCAGATATAAAACAGATTTTTATTAAAATACTCTGACTGCTGGCTGTCGAACCACTTTACGAGGCCATACGATGGCCGGTGGTCGAAGCCAACTTTATAGATGTACGCAAGAGGCCACCACTAGGATGTAAAACGTCTTACAAAGCCAGGATAATTTAACTTTGAGTGAAACTACATTGGTTATAGTGACATCAGGCAGTCAGATGGAGGTTAACGTGTTAATGAATCATTCTTGAATGAAATTCCAATGTCTAAAAAATGCACTTCTGTAGTACTAATTTGCTCAAATTTAAGTTTTAAATCATATTTTATTTATTTCATTCAAAAAAATGCTGTATTCTTGTATCTTTCTTCCATAAAATGAACACATCATCTAAATATCTCTTGTATAAGATTATGTCCCACCTAAAATTCGTAATAGCAATCTGTTCTAATCTGTGTAACACTAACTCGCAGAGTAAGCCAGGCATCGGGCTGCCCATCAGAACCCCTTTCATTTGTTTATAGATTCTGCCTTCAAAGATGAAGAATGATTGAAAACATATCAGGTTTGCAAGTAGCTCCATGTCTTTAGGACCCAGGTTTGCAAGTAGCTCCATAAAATTGGATTCATGTTATCACGTATTAATTGACACCTTGTGCAGTTTAAACCCATATGGTAAAATGAATCCAATTTTATGGAGCTAATTGCAAATCTGATATGCTTTCAATCATTCTTCAGCTTTGAAAGCAGAATCTATAAACAAATGAAAGAGGTTCCAATGGGCAGCCAGATGACCGGCTTACTCTGCGAGTTAAGGTTATGCAGATTAGAACAGATCGCTATTACGAATTTTAGGGGGACAATCTTATACAAAAGATATGTAGATGATGTGTTCATTTTATGGAGGAATGATACAAGAATATAGCAATTCATTCCCAGAAACTAAACATATATTCTTGGTGTCTTCAAAACTGCTCTACAAAAGCACTGAATGAGGATTTCACCTTGACAGACTAAATATACATACTTGGTGTTGTCAATGGTGTTCCACAAAGCACTCAACACAAACTTCATCTCCACAAACTAAATATATGTCTTCAATAGTACTTCTTCCTGCATTCAACTCAGATTTTCAATATCTTCAGCTATTAAGAAGACCAACTGTCTTGCAAGTGTCAACCAACTGTTAGACAACCTGCTTTTCAGGAAATTGTTGGTCTCCCATTGCAAATTGCAATATGTATTGTATTCATAGTAGTCGCAAGCCCCCTATCTAGGGCACTTTTGTTGTATTTTATTACCATGTACTGTATATATCTGTTTATTTTCTTCCTTAGCGAGGATTTTCAGACCCCACTGCAAGTTGCAATGTTTCATATGTTTGTTTGCATACTCCTAGTTTGGCATGCTTTTGTGTTGTCAGTTTTTTTTTTAAACATGTGGTTTTTTTATCTGCATATGTTCATTGTTTTATGTCCTGTGTTAATTGTCTTGTCAGTCTCTCATTGCAAGTTGAAATGTTTTGTCTATTCACTTTGCGAGTGTCCCTTGCTTATAACTTCTGTAACATGGGCATCTATTCTGTTTGTACGTATTGTTTATTGTCTTGTCATATGGAACTTTGTTGATTCCCTCATTGCAAGTACAATGGGTATTGTAAATATGTTATGTTTGTGTGCCCATCACTTAGGGCACTTATGTAATTCTTAACTACTGTTCCACAACTGAATATAAATTTTTAATTTTGTTTTAAATAAAAGCAATGTAGGTGCCCTTAAGACTTCCATTTCATCCCCTTCCCTATCCTTCTTTATAATTTCACCTTCAGCCTCTTCCTCTAAATCAGCGATTCCCAACCTGTGGTACGCGTACCCCTAGGGGTACGCGATAGGTTGTTTAGGGGTACAGAAAAAAGTTAGTTATTATGGCAGAAAAAATAATATATTATGTATCACAAACTAATAGTATTAAAAAATTATTAGATAAAAAATGTTCCTAGCAACAATCACAACTTTATTATACATTTTTTCTTTTAGTTTTTTTTCTTTAATTTAAAGTTACAATATGTAAAATTAACAATACGATTACTCACTAAATTTCTTAAATGAGGGGTACAATCTAGAGATATGACATGTCAAGGGGTACAATCTAGAGATATGACATGTCAAGGGGTACGCTAATGAAAAAAGGTTGGGAACCACTGCTCTAAATCATCATCTTCATTTTCACCCCAGGCAATACCTTTGAATAGCCCTGATTTCATCCCCTATCTACTAAAAGTAAAATAAGGTATATATGTTGTATAATATTCAATGAATCTAAGTGTATATTGAAGATTGACTATACTTACTGTATAGTCAATCCTTGAATAATATGGCTTTACTCATGTGTATACTGTATTTTTTTTATCCTTCATTAAATAAGCTGTAAAATTGTTTGAATAAAATGTTTTAAATTATTTCCTTATCAATAAATCATTAATATCACAGAATTAATGACATTTTATGATGATATCTAGCTGACATCCTGTCATTCTCAGTTAATAACACAATACAAGAAATTGATTGTAAACTGTGGAGCACTAGTTCAATAAATTTTTCTGAATTTAATATTAATTAATTATGTTCTCAAAATCTATTTTATTCATAATATATAAACTATTATGTTATATCTATATATATAATCGAGACGAGTTGATGATGATGATGATAAGCGCAGAGCCCAAATTGTTAGGAGTTAAAAGTTGAAATTTGGTACACAGTTAGGGTATGTCATGAAAATGCACACTAAGACGGGATTTTCGAAATCCCCCCAGGGGGAGAGACAACATTAAGGCTTCTATATACATTATGGATACAAGCCCAAACGGTTAGGAGTTGAAAGTTGAAATTTGGTACACAGTTAGGGTATGTTACGAGAACGCACACTAAGAAGGGATTTTTCGAAATTCCTCCCCACGGGGAAGAGGAACAGAATTAAGGCTTAACACTTCCATCAACAATGGAAGTGTTAAGTAACAATGAAATTGTTAAGAGAAAGTGATGTACAAGAAGCAGATGCAGATTTTTCATTTTTGCGGGAAATCGAACATATTTTTAGACCCATCTAAAACTTCTCTAATCAGTCCGGAAACAGGGGACCCAATTCTTGCATTCTGTGAAAACGGGTAAGGTTGACTATAACATAATAATGTTAATCTTCCCTATTGTTACTTTTGTCCAAGCATCGCCGGCCTACCTGCTAGTTTAATATAAAATTAAAAACTAAGTAAAAGAAAAATCAATTAGCTTTCATTAAAACAGACTTGCAGATTATCAGTTTCCACATTATCTGTGCCTTCACTACTGGTGATTAGTCAGAATAATTGGGAGTACACTGTAATTTGAAATTTTCATAAAAACATCTAATAATGCTACCTAACTTCTTTGCTTCATGACTAAATATCAAAAAATAAAAAAAACAACAAGAGGGAAAATATACAATTCAAAACAAACTTTAAAAAAACCATCTTTTGCATATCACATCATGTGATATCAAAAGAAAAACTTGGTAATTTCATAAAACAAACTGTTTTACTTTTTAAGATTCAGAATTTTTTGGTAATAACCTTAATGTTTCCTTTTGATTGCATCATTTTATTTTTTTCTAAAAAGGTGCTTCCACTCAAACATTTCATATTATACAGTGAGACTAGTATAGTTTTATATATACACACGTATACATAAATACTTAAATATGTGTATACACACACACAAATCAATTAGAGGATAATGCATTACAAATAGAAATTTACAGCTAATCCAGAAAGTTTAGACATAAGTAATATCACACAGTAAACAATTGCAAATTTGTATTTATGATTTGTTTTACATGAGTAATTGTAAAAGGTAGAAACTGCTTTTAACTCCAACTCTCAGAAGTTTATCAGTATTGCATTACAGAAAACACTTTTTTTTAGTTATATTTAACCATGTCTCATCAGCAAGATTTATCATATTCTATAGTTTATTGGTCAATAAAATTGGAAGTTGGTCAAATTAAATATGCCATTGCAGATGCTGCTGTAGTGTTATAAAATATCATTAGCAGATTGTGGAATAGAATCCTAAATAAAGGAACAGTACAAAGAAAAAGGTTGTACATAAATTATTATCCCAAGAGTGAGTTGTTATTTGTCACAAACCACTTATTGGAATCAACAGAATGCCAGACTTTCAACAGGAACAGGAGACTTGTCTTGACAAAAGCCATTCATCTTCATCAAGCATAGTTTTACATGAAAAGACCATTGATGTGTCCAATGTTAACAAATAATAAAACAGACATTTTGTACATTTACATAAATTAGTCTGATTTCACTTTTTTATGCCACTTATTTAGGGATTTTAATTAATTCTTTTATCAAAATAAGAGAGAAAATTTTCACACAAGTATGTGAATACATACATTTTTTAATTTGATGTTTAAATATAACAACACTAATCTTTTATGTTAAAATGCACTTTTGCCTACTTCATCCGTCAAATAATATTTGGACAGAATGATCAGTATGACTTTAAAAAACATTATAGAAATTTTAAAAAATTAAAAGCTGATTTCCAAAGAAAAAATTATATATCACATCATCAGTATTCCACATATTTTTTAAATGGATTTACTTACTGTAGATGGATGAAAATATTTTTAAGATTTTCAAAGAAACACGTTAAAATAATTTTGGATATATTCACTTAGATGTGTTAATTGATCTGTTGAAAAGAATATGTATTTGTTTAAATTTTGAATGTTCTGGTAAACACACATTAAAAATTGTCATCAAACTATACTCAAGAAATATAAAAAAGTCACACTTTTTGTATATATACTACTTATAAAGTTTATCAGCCTGGCAGCCAAAAATAAATCATCTGAACATGCCTGGCAAAAAGGGCCTGAGGAGAACACTGAGTTGTGTAAAGTTCAGTGTAAAAAACTAATTTATAAAGTTTTGCAAAATTTTATAATTTAGAATGCAAAAAAGTAGGCCCTTAGATATAATCTAAATCAAATTTATTGACAATAAAGTTAATAATAAAAAAGTTATAATATATAAACAAATAAATTTAATTTATTAATTAAAACATGAATTTTACTTAATATTTTATTAATTCATTTTTTTAAGAAAAGTAACTATATATATTTTCTGTCATTGCACAAATTGTTATTCACTATTATATCATTAATGTGTAAAATTGAATTATGGTTCCTATTTCTAGCTAATAACCATTTAATCTCTAAGGAATTTACCTTATAATAACTATTACTGTTCTTTTTTTAACATTAGATTAGAGATTTATTTTTAACTTAATAGAATTTTTAAGAAATTAAATTTTAGGTTAAAAATTCTAATTTACCTGATTGTTAAAAATTTTTAAACTACAACCAGGAGGAATCTTGCACACAGTTGTGGGATGAAATCCATGTGAATGATTGCAATTACGACTTTGGACAAAAATGGCACTATCACTAAGACACTCTGCATACACTTCACCTCCAACATAATACAGATGAACACCTATAAATATGAAGTATATAACACAATTTGTTTTAAATTTGCTATTAAAAATAAAAAATTTTAAATTAAAAATAAGTAACATATTCAGTTCAAGCTGATTATCTCAATGTATATATTTAATTCTTCCAAAATTAACAGTAAAATACAATAGTTTTTCTTTTATTTTGTACACTGTTTCTTGCGCATTACATGATGCTAATTTAGAAGTCAGTGAACTATTTTTATATCAAAGTTAATATTTATTAATTACAGTACTCCACACCATATATTTTTTATTAAGTAATACAGGATTTATTTTCAATTAATGTATTCTTATTGAAATATAAGTAGCAAAACATTAAGTGACTTAGTAAAAGAAAAAATTTTTAACATTGCAATTTTATAATATAAAACTGAAATAAATTTTATACTGCAGTTTAAATTAGTTTCAGAAAGATAAGTGAGAAAAATTTCTTATGAAAGTCATTAAGAACCTAAACATCCAGATTTTATTTTTTTTAGCCTTTCTCTTATAATTTAAAACTTTCTTTTGCACTCAGAACATATCTTTCTTTCTAATTTTCTTGAATTATCCGTACTGCCAACTGGAATATATAAACTAATATGTAATAGTTGTGATAATCTGATTATTTTCTATATTAGTATCATAATAACTATTTTAAATTTTATTTCTAATAGTGCATTTTTTAATTATTCTTTAAAAAAATTTTAAGGTTGCATTTCCATTTAAAAAACTGAAGTTATTGGTTTTATCAATAATAGTTCCATCTATGGGGAAACCAACACTTCAAATTTTGGCTCCCTTATACAGAAAACACATTTTATCTGGAATATTTTTTTCATAGAATGCAAATTTCTCAAGATATTCACATGTATTGATTAAAATGATATTCTAAAGCAAGAAGTTAGTAGTTTTTTTTCAAATACTATATAGAATTTACAGTTAGCTCATAGTAACTAGCAACTTGAATGTAATGCTATCATATTGGTACTAAAATTTATTTATTATGCAATACTTATAGTATTGTATAATAAATAATGGTAATGAAATGAAATATTGGTAATGTATTTCATTTCTTTCTATTTTTATAAAATGGAAAGAAATGAAATACATTACCAGTACAGTCATAAAAATGTTTTATAAATATAAAGTAAATAACTGTCAATCAAAATTGAAAAAATAATGATCCAACTTTGGTTTCATCATCACAAACCTCTTCTGATTTTGTACAGGGAAATTGGTTTTTGCCTGTGGGATGATGGTGTCAAATCACTTCTTTGTAGAATGAGAAGACAAATGTGTGTTAATGATAAGGAAAACGCAAAGTTTTTAAATGTGGTTTTTTGCTTATTATTCTAGTGTAAATAATATAAACACATTGAAAAGCTATTACGTATATTTTTTAAGATTTCAACAAATAAATTCTAAAAAGTGTATAAATATTTAGAAAAAACAATTTATTATTAATATATAGTTTTCAAATGATTCTTTCATAAATAAAATTAAATATGTTTTTTAATGAGTTAAGAAACTGATTTGATGATTTTGACTAGTCTAGAGAAGGTTACGTACACAACTAATTAAGATGCATTACTGCATAGAAATCTAATTTTACATGGTCTTGTTACATTTAATATAAACAAAAGCTCTCAAAACTAATGTTTAAGAATTTTTGAACATATTCATGCTTTACCAAAAGCAGTATTAACTAAGATTTAAATTTTAATTAAAAGTTATCAGTATTTATGAAATAACATCAAAAATATCAAATTTCGTTCAATGAGTATTTCTGAATTATGCTTCTTAAGTGTGCATTTAAAATTCTCACTTATAAAAATATATAAAAAACTTTTTAACTATATTCAATTCTTCTTTACTTTTAAATTCTAGAAAATTAAATATAGAAAATGTATTCTTTGTAATGATAATTCACTATAGAGTTAAGCCAACTGTTTTTAAGTAATTAATAATTTACAAATAGTAAACTTCACTACACAACTGTGTGTCATTGTAGGGCATGAATATTTATTTACACTTAATTATCTTGTAATAAATATTTTCATTTTTTGCAATTATACCCTTTCATTATTTGCAAAAACTTTCTCATTGGCATCAATTGTGTTATGTTGGAACTTTTAACCTTAAAAACTTCTCTCTACAAATACAAATTTTGTATTTTATTTACATTGAAAATATGAAATATGAAGTAAGTAGTGTATATTTACAAATTTCTTCTATGACAAATATGTAGCGAAAAAATTTCCAAAAACATTTTAACACAAATATTTTGTGTAAAATGATTAATATAAATAATCTTATCAATTTGTAAAAAAACCAATGATCATAAAGTGAATAAATACCAAATCATCTACATACAAACTGAAATACAAACACTTAATTTTGTTGATGTGATTTATATTATTTTTGCATTATTATATTCTATTTATTATTATATATTCTATTTTTACAGAAAATGTTTACCTTTTCCAATATGACGTCTGGTATTTTCAATTGTGGAATTCCTGTTTACATTGCTCAATAAACCTAAGCAAAACCTGTTATTATTATTTGATGGATCAGTAAATCCATCAATTATGATGCTATGATTCTGAGCATGAAATACTTCTCCAACCCTCGAGTTAAGTTCATAATATGCTATTGAACACCAATATTGAGGTTCTTGATATGTCACTGGAGACACATCTACTGTAAAAATAAAACATTATCTAAGTACTACAATTCTATACCTAAAAAAAAAAATCTTTTTCAAATAGCAAAAATTTCTAACCAGAAGTAATACTAGATGTATCCATTGGTTGTTGTGGTGGTTGGCTGCTATTGGATCCAGGTTGACTGTCATCTGGACTATATGCTGGTGGTGGTGTTTCTGCTAGGAAAAAAGTTGTTTTAAAAAAAAATTATATAAATTAGCTACAAAACAAATATTAAAATGTGGTCAAAACCATAAATAATATCCATATTATAAATGCCCAAATAGTAGTTAGATATTAAAATATTTTATTTATTCATTTATTATTTACTGCATACTTATTGAATATGTTAACACTAGCTGCTAGTTATACAGTATACAGAGAAAGATATATAGTGGTGCCTCATATAACGTACACCTCATATAATGAACGCTGCGAACAACAGACTTTCTGTTTGGCCGTTACGTGAGGTGAACAACAAACTTTCTGCGAACAAGTGCGAATGATGTTTTCACTCTTTTGCCGTTGCCAATGACAATCTGCTATTTTTATAATATATTAGTATTATTAGAATATATTATTAGTATATCTGAAGTACAGAGCTCCTGTTGGGATTTGGCTTGCTCCTTGTTTATTACATACATTACCTCAGTGCAGAGTATTTACATTTATTCAAGTATTATGCAAATCATGGCTTCTAAAAAAACAGAAAGGTGGTTTCAATTGAAACAAAGCAAGAAATCATCAAGAGTGAAAGTTGACAAAAAACTTCCTTGTCGAATGAGAAGTTTACCAACACTCATTATCCAAACAGAGCTGATGCCAACAGGATCAATGATCTCTACAATGATACCCTTGCCCATCATTTCCGACAGGTGTTGAAGAAGACAGAGAAACAGATCACCTTGGATATGTTTTTCAAGAAGCCAGCAGGCAAAAACAAAGGATGGAACAAGAGGAGTTGACTCTGCAAGCTCCGGTAGCCTCTCCTGAATCTGACTCCGATTAAAAAAACAATAAAAAGAGACCTGCTGCAATGTGTAAAAAGTCTGTATCTGTATGAATGTGTGAAGAAAGTGTTCCTCCATCTCCTCCTCACAACATCCAACTACCCGGCATAATTGGTGACTGCTCCATTTTCATTTTTTTTTTATGTTACAGTATGATTATCTTATACTGCGGAACAAATTTTATGTTTTAACATGTATTTCTATGAGAAAATGCGTTTCGTATAATGGACTTTTCACTTAACAGACGTGCACCTTATACGAAACACCACTGTAGTTCAGCTGATGAGATTCACTTTCATTATAATGTGTAATATAGTATACATTAAACAAATATATATACTTATGAATTGTAAGCATAATTAATCTGAAATGACTTAATAGGTTGGGGAGAATCAGACACAATAAAAACCCAGACATATATTCCTGTCTTTGACATAGAATGTGCAGTCTTTGTCAGTAACAAACATCATGTCCATGTTAAAATCTTAAGGTTAATAAAAATTATGTAATGGAGTCTCATACCCTCACTGTCTCCATTTTATATTAGTACACTTAATCAGTACATTTATATCTATACTAGCTCTGTAAGTAAGTGCATTATGTGACAGATCAAACTATTTATGTAACAGATCAAAATGATGAAAAACATTTTGGTCAGATGTGTATAAGTTTTACAGCTCATCTAAATTTTAATAAATATTTAAATTACAAAACATTTAATTAGCCTATAAAATGTTAGGGAAGATCAAATCACATTCCTTAAATATTAAACTGTAAAAGTCAAATTTAAACTATACAGAAGAGTACTGGAAACTCAACTCACAACATTCCATAAAACTCGTGTTGTTCAAAAAGGAAAAAATTCATGTAATTTAATTTTTACTATTATAACTTAACACTATGATCAAATAAGTTCTTCACTGATGACAATCAATAATATCATCAATTCTTTGTGTTAACAAATATAACCCTTTTTCCAAGGTGCCACAGCAAAACACCACAATGTGAATGTCACTAAGTTAACTCAAAAGTAGCCACTAAATAGCTATTATTATTATTTTTTCTTTAAGTAAAATTTAACTATAAATAGAAACAGTCATTATTGGTGCATAGTTAATACATATATTAATTTGCATATATTCAAAAATTCTGCTATTTATTCTAGCATCATTGCTATGCCATTAAACTTGACATTTTCAGTAACTCGTTACCTTCTCAGTCCACATTAACTCACATTTGTGGGACTACTGTGGCATGAAGAAAAAAAACTTAGACAAAATGTTAAACTAGTGGAAATTGGTTCTGGATGGTCAGAACATTTTTTTTTGTCTACAGCCTTTTGGCATGCCCTAAATCTGCCAACAATGAAGTTAATATAAATCAATGTGGTGGATAGTAAACAGGTAGCTACCAAGAGAAAGGTGAAAGTAATTTGTGAACTAAATCCAAATATGATGAAAGCTAATATAATTAGTCACTCTACTGCCTAAGGATATGCTTGAAGCTGGTTTTGTGATAATTTGAAAATATTTGAGAATGGCTTGGAAGTGAGGAAAAAAAGCAGAGATTGAGTCAATCCAACATCCATTTGGACAGAAACCAGCAGAGGTGAGTACAGCAAGCTCTCAAAGGAAAAGTTAGGCTGCGTTACATGTCACTAGCTGAAAAGTTTGAAGTGAACCACAAACAATGAAACAAATAGTGGAGGACATGGATGGAAGCAGAGAAAGCAGAAAACAGCTTTAGAAGCTGTTTTCTGCTTTTTCTCTGCTTCCAGGTCAAGAAAATCATTAATGTCAGTGTCTGCCCAGCTTTTTCAAAGGACAAGACAAATCACTTAACCTGATGTCATCATGCCGTAATGGCCTAAGATTTTCATTCTGGGATGGCAGAAATGGGAAAGAACTTGTTTTAGAAGGGAGGGTAGCTATTATCTGCCATTTTATCATCAAACTAATTTTTAAAATTTCATGATCAATTTTTAGTAAGACATAATCAGAAAAAAATTGTGAGAATGTGTAATTACTTGACTAACAATCAATTTATATTGAAAGAAATCCCAATAATGGTCATTATAGATAAATTTAAATAAATTATTTCAGGGAGAGAGTGAATTATGAGGTGGTGTGAATGGGTGGGGAAGAGAATTTTAAGGTGGACTGGCACCCATCCTAGCACCAGCAATGATCATGGATTGACAACCCATTCACACCACCTCATCCAACCAGCAAACCAAAATAGCAAACCATCTGCAACCAAAAAATTTCACTGAAAAGAGAAATTTGGCAAAAATATGTTGATGGCAATTGGGCTAAAGACCCACAATGTTCATGTTTCATGAAATCTAGAGACCATTAACTCTGAAGTCTACATTCAAGTGTGTAGTAAAAAGCAACTAGTTCCTTACATACATAAACATTACCTAACAACACTCAATACATCTTTTGGCCAGACTTAGTTTGTATTACTCCTCTCAGATACAAGCCAAGTTAAGAGAATTCAGAATCACTTTTGTGGATAAAGAAAATGACTCATCCAATGTTTCCCAGCATTGTCTAATTGTAATTTTTGGGGTTACAATAAATCTTGTCTATGAAAATGAATAGGAAGTAATAACACTTCAAGGTCACATCACAAGGATGACCAAAAACTTGGAAGAGATCTTAGAAATTTGACAAAACTCAATTCACATGTTCATTCTCAAAAAGGAAAGATGCAAAATATGAAACTGATACTTTAATCATGTAGTGGTGATATATTATGAACATGATGTATATGATAAATTAAAAAACATCATGTATTTTGTTAGTAATAAATAAAATGGCAAAATGTTTGCCCAAGATTTCCTCCCAATAGTACTGGGAAGAAATCTTGGTCAAACATTTTGCCATTTTATTCATTTATTCATTTTATCATTAGTTTGGTTTGATAAGAGAAGACAATGTAGCATGTGAATAATCTGCCAAGGGTGGATGTTTCTCAGAAGAACATGCTGTTGGAAAATGACCTCTATTTAGGTGTTAGATATATGAAGAAAATCCAAAAATCTCCATATAGCAAGTCAATTGGTAAGGCACAAACCCAATACAAACTACCAGTTTTAACCACTCATAACTTATTTCAAGAGAAAAACTGGATCACTGAAAACTGATCAAATCTTTCTCTTGATATGAGTTCATCATAATTAGTATTTTGGTCTTACCAATTTTAAAATTATGCAAGGCTAACTTAAATTGTGCTTGAAATATAAATTTCATATCTTTACTATAATATCTCTGTTGTAACTTGAAACTGTGGAATAAGTATGAAACCTCTAAAATTAAGAAAAATATCTATTTAATCAATTCATTCTTTCTAATTGTAATTTTCCTTTTATAGTCTTTATAAATTTAATTTGAATTTTTTTATTATTGTTAGAATGTAACATAAAAAGAGATACTACTATTGAATTTTTCACAACACAAAATAGTAAACTGAATATAAACAAAATTTTAACATACCAGGTAAGCCAAATGGACTATTTGGAGCACTACTATTCAAACTAGTAACTGGAGAAGGTACACTCAAACCAGATGATGCTGATAAAGTATTTCCAATAGGAGTATTTGGTGGTGGTGTTGTAAATCCTTGTGCAGAAAAACTAACATTATGTGGCATAGCAGGCTCAGGAACTGGTTGGAAACTTGACAACATTGGATGACCTGGAGGATATTCACTGTGTCTTGGAACTAAGACAGGAGGTAAAACTAAAAAACAGCAGAAAATAATAATTGGAAAATGCAAATATTTTACAATAAAAATTAATTTTTAATTATAACTTTATATTAAAGTAAGTTATATAAAATTTCAATAAATTCAATTCAGTTGCTGCAAAAATAAAATCAAAATGTTTCTTTGAATAATCAAATGAACTACAAAGTTAAACTCTGCTGTAATAAGTATGATTATAATGAGTTTGTAATTATTGTGGGCAGATCTTCATTTTGCTTTCTGTTTAGAATACATTTTCATGTAAATATTCATTGTTTTAATGAGTTAACTTCATGGATATAACAAACTAACTTTTGTCCTGTGTAGTACTTAATGAATGAGAAAATCACTATCACCTGAGTGAACCATCTACTTGAATTGTTAAAACTATATTAAAATTGTTTTGTGTGACTTATTTTTACATTTATCCTTCAGTCTTCCAAATAAACATGTCATCTAATTAAAGAATGCACCTTTTGATTCATGAAAAAATCTAGTATCCAAAAATAGAGCACAAATTAAAAAATATCGAAATATGTAGAAAATTTGGAAATTTGAGTGTTTTAAGAATAAATTTGAGATATATGGAAATACAGTAGAGCCTCGAAAACTCAGCCTAATGTGGACCGAAGGGTGGCCGAGTTTGTGAAAATGCCGGGTTATCGGGAATGGGGTTAAAAAAACTAAGTATGAGTGTTTCCTCAGAAAATACTGTACTGTATTTGTATGTATTGTTTACTTAAAATACAACAGAGAATAAACTGCCCAAATACCCTTAAACAAAGGAAAAGTACGACCTTTATGAAGGCATAGAGCCTTTACTACATGAAAATGAAAATTAATGAATACATTGTGTACAGTAATTTACCTGATAAGACAGACCCCAGAAAAATACTTTATGAGGTATAAAGCTGTCTATAATGAACATTAATTAACTAAGGATTTTTTTGCCCTGCTAATGTGTGGCCAAGTTATCCGGAGTGCCGGGTTATCGAGTGCCGAGTTTTCGAGGCTCTACTGTATAACCATTATAATAATAATAAACTTTAGAGTTTATAACATTCATTTTTTTAATATTGAGTAGGCTGTTTTAATATTTTAAATGATTCATATTATATATGCTGTCAGCATTGATCTGAAAAATTTTTTTAAAAATTGCCAACCATTTTGCCAGTTTTAAATTTTTTTCACCACTTCAAATTGTTTATTGTCACCTGTTTTACTTACTAATTAATGCAGGTGCTGATAGCCTGCATTATAATACACTTTGTAATACACAATTATAATACATTATAATACAATTAACACTTTGGAGTCTAGGAAGCAAAAGTAACATGTTAAGCTGAGAACTGATTTTTTAATGAATAATTCGAGTAACACATTTGATCATAATGCTTAAACAATATTTCATACATTCTGTCATGTCAAAATTTTTATGCTTTAGTCTACTGAAAAAAGATCAAAGTAAAAAAAAAGTCACCCCAAAATATTTTCCAGATTTTCTGTCAGCCAATAAAAAATTCCCAATCTGGAAACACTGGGCAACATTGCACAAAAACCACCTTCAGTTCTCAATGTCAATTTCCTGCATTCCTGTCCAAAGTTGCTATGTGATGTCATAACATCAATAGTGTGGTGCATGGGTCTCCTATTGTGCAGGAGTTCAACATTTTGTTGTTTTTATTGCCACTATTATATTTTTATTGCCAAGTGGTGATTTTGGCACTGAATGCAGAACATCTTAGTTTCTGCATTTAGTTCAGAGAGGCATAAATTTTTTATGTATAATCTACATCACATTAATCAATTACTATAACAGAATCATTTATAAAAAGATAACAGATGAAGTTTACCAACCACAAATGTTGCATATTGTATTAAAAAGCCATATTGTTTTTTTAAGAAAAGTTGGGAATGATGTAGTATATTTCTAATAGCAATAAATGTGTTAAAACGTTTCTTTAATGTATTTTAATATTTTATTGTATTCAGTCAAATAAAGAAATTTTATGTTCTCTAACTTTGTGAAATAAAAACTTTATATTCCTTTTTATTTCTCACTAGTTGGCATAAAAATACAAATAAAAACATTTGTGTATGCTAGCAAGGTAAGTGGCACATTGGTATCTTACAAAAAGCACATCATATTTGTCCTTTATGCCCACTATAATGTTGACTGTACTGGTAATAAAAAAATGTGGTTTTCAAATATATCTCAGCAACAAAAAAAAAAATTAGAGAAAAACTACAGAAATATAGATAAAGTAAAAATGGAATAATACTCTATTCCAATTGTTTAAAAAAGATGTTACAAAAAATAAACAATAATGCTGAGATTTGATGTTGTTGGACTTTAATAGTAAAGAAAAAATATACCAAAAATTTAAAAGTTTTTTCCATAAAGTCAAGTTATCTTCCTTAGATGAATAATTTGCTGTCTACTTTTCTGTTCTACCATTGTAACATCAAGAGTGAGTATTCTTCCTAATTCTAGTCAAAATTTTTTGGATGTATATCAACATTATACATTAACAATGTTGCTATAGTGCATACAATATCTGATCAAAAGTAAACAGACACCTGGTCATAAACAGCTTTCTTGTATAAGATGAAAATTAATAGCCTTTTACTGTTATCACAAAGTCCACTCAGAGGAAGGCTTGCCAATAGCTATTAAAACATTACTTTAGGAATTGCTATCCAACATTAGCCATTAGCCAAGTCAATCACCAATGTTAAGTGTTGAGGTCTGGCTTGCAGTTGGCATTCTAGTTCATCTGAAAGCTGTTCAATGGTGTTAAGATCCAGATTTTATGCAAATTCAAGTTCTACAGTATCCAGCTCATCAAACTACTACTTGATGAACTTTGCTTCAAGAAGTGGGAGTAATTTCATGTTGATACAGAAGTGTTCCCATCATATTAATAACAACACAGGTATATATTAGTCATATATGTAGCTGATCAGCCAATAAAATGCACTGAATGCAGTTCACAATAAACATCATAACATGACATTGCTTCTGAAAGTATTTTGGAACTTGTGGGAAAATGTTACAACTGAAAAAAGACAATTTTGATATACTACAAGATTCAGAATTTGGGAACCCTGGCCTTTCATTCTACATGGTCTCCCAAACTGTTGTTGCACTGTTGACATTCCAAGACATTTTCACTTGAAAATAACAACACTAACAATGCAGACATTTTCCTAAACAAACTTCTTGTTTTGATGACATCCTACAATTGCATCACATTGAAAGTTGATGAGCTATGCCATATGACCCATTTCACTGAAAATGATTACAAATACTTCTAACAAGATTACATGCATCATTTTATAGCTGTCAGATATGTGACAGTGACACAGATAAAAAAAGCAACTTCAGTATTTTACATAAATATCCAAATATATATTGAACATAATTCAAAAAAGAACAAAATAAAAAAAAACATATATGAAGTAAATATGAATAAGAGGGAAAAAATATCGAGAGAGAGAGAAATTGAAGAATATAAATCAATCAAATAAAGATAAGTGGCAGCTCTAATATAAAAAAATAAAAAAGATTAAAGAAAAAAAAATGCAGGATATTAGGAAGATGCAAAAATAATAGAAAAGCCAAGTGATGGAATGAACATACAAAAAGCCAAAAAATAAAATCTTTTTAGGAAAACATCAAACAAGAAGTATTTAATATAAAAGATACAAATATTATATATCAATAACATGGAAATAGCTGGCAAAGAAAAAAATTAAATGGAAAGATATCTAAACAATAAAAAAAATTACAACTATAATCATATAAGAAAGACTTGACCAACTTTAGAAGGGGTATGACCTACTTTTGTGATCCAACCTACAGATAATCTATCATCTCATTTTCATTCTTTTGTGAGAGTTTATTATTATTGGTCACTTACAAAATAAAATTATACTGCAAACTATAATTAATATAGCAAAATACATTTATTTATTGCATAAAATTATATCCCAAGCCATCTTTTTTTACAAAGACAATAAAGCATTGTAAATTAAATACCACATTTATCTTTCACTGTAATGAAGCATTTTATTTCTCATTCACATTACGAAAATAAGTTTTGCTCTTCTTTGGTGCACTCATTTTGCATAACATTGATATTATTAACAGCAGTGATACAGAATTTCTAAAATAACAACTTAACCTAGTTATGATTATCCATACAAAGAGCATGATCCACTTCCCTGTGTTCCTTGTTTAGTATCTGCAAATGCATTTTTTCATTGTGCTATAATCAGGAACAAAGGATAACCACACATTTCACAGAATATATTGTTTATCAATCCATAGTGGTAGTTAAAAAAAAATCTATCAGTGGAAAATATGGAATTAAAATTTCCATAAAAATTATAAATTCTTTCAAGTATTAAAAAATTATCAACAGATTGGTTGACTACCACACAATTTTTGGTCAATTGCAGATAACACAATCAAAACCCACTTGCTGACCAGGCTAGCTATAACACATTCCTCATAAAATTATAAAGAATTTGACTGAATTCATTATATCCAGTATATGCAAAGTTAAAGATCATTTGCTACATGTTCTAATTAAAGTTATTAAGAAAACAGAACATTTCAAATGCTTAAAACCTAAAATCTCTGGTGACAGATAAAAGTCCAAAAATGTTTGGATAAATATTAATTAATAGTTAGTTAATTAATATCTTAGTAAAAAATAGTATTGAATAATACAGCAACTCAATGTAATGATAATTCTGAAATGTTTATATTTTTAGCCAAATTTATATTGAACTTAGATAATGATATTTATGAATTAAATAATAATATCAATTCATCTCACAAATCTTAAAGAAAGAACTGTTTAACAATTCCAAAAATTTTCTAAACAGTTTTAAGTTTGATCATTTTCATTTAATAAATTTTAATGTTACTCTGAAAAATAAAAAATTATCATTCAATTAAGTAACAAAATATTTGGAAATAAAGAGA